ACAATTCAATCACTCTCTCTTCCTGCCCCACGAAAGAGAGCAGGACATGTCATCTGAAAAAGTCTATGAGCCTTCAATCTTTACTGCTGACTCTTCAGCCAGAGACCTCCACTGAGAAGTCACTGCTGCATCAAAACCTGCAGTGCTATAGCAATGCAGAAGGCAGCATCTGTCTCCCTGTTCACTCCAGCAAGAAGGCACTCACATGGGTATCATAGGAACATCACCTTTGGAGCATTTATCTCTATGTCTGTACACAAATACTCTTAATGAAAGAGCCCAAAGCCTGTCTGTGAACACTGGGCCCCAGGCCACCTCACCAAGGAGGACATGATCTGCACCAAACCTGGCTGGGACCATGCTGATGACACTCAGGCTGATAAATATCCTCTTCTGCTGAGGAAAAAAAAATCCACCAGACTGCCTCAGGCTATGGTGGGAAAGGCTCCTTCTGCTCCCTGCGTGGGCTGGGGTTAGTGTCCTTCAGACTGTGGGCAGGGTGGGAACTCCTCCCTGACCGCCTGTGGTGAACTCAGTGGAGCACAAAGCCAAACTGCTTGTACAGCTTCACCTGCCCAGATCCCTAGCTCTCGCCCATCCTGCCAGTTGGCCAGTCCACCCCAGAAGGCAGCTGCCTGTTTGTCTTGGATGACCTCCTGCCAGACCAGAGCTTTCCACAGCACGGCTCCTCTGTGCTGCTGGAGAGCAAATTTCCTGCTGTTTGATCTAAATTTGCCTGTCGTTTCACTGAGTGCTTAATGATTTCCTTCATCAAACCCAATCTTTCCATGAGGGAAGTGGCCCTGCAGCCCAGGGCTCTTTGGTAGGGAGTTAAAGGAGAGGCCTGGTAGTCAGAGAGCAAATGCCGCAGGTCCATACCTCCTCTGGCCCGGGAGCTGGAGAGAATCTTCCTTCCCTTCCCAGGTGGATCAAGCATGGACATGCAGTGCCCTCTGCTGATCTGGCCACCGAGGGAGATGCAGGAAGGAGCAGCAGGCAGGGCTCGATATCTTTGGAGACTTCTGAATGAGCAGCCAAGCCTCCAGCCTCCCTGCTAGCATTTTGCTGGCAAGGCAGAGACAGTACATTTCTCTCTGATGAGAAATTGCCATTGACAGCTCTGGGAGCAGCTGTTTGAAAAGCCAAGCTGGTAGAAGAGGCCCAGGTTGTCCCATCAGCCAACTCCACACCTGCAGATTATAGCTACCCAAGGAAACTGGGACATCTTCACTATCCTCTGCAGTCCCTCTAGGCCTGAGCAGTAAATTCCTATGCAGTGGGGAGGGGGGCAGCCTTGCAAGACCAGCAGAGCATTAAGGGACAAAAAGTCAGCATGGGGGACTTGTTTGGCTGGAGTTGGTTGAGCCCTACTGAGGCCCTCCAGGTATGATGCACCTGGGTTGCTCCAGTCCAGAAGACAAGAGCTTGGCAGAGCTCCCAGATCCCTCTGGTCCTCACCATCACACTGGAACAAACCTGGAGTTGTTCCTGAAGCCGTGCCCAGGCATGGGGCTGGCAGGACACCCACAGCTCACGGTAGCTCGCACTGGAAGAAACCACTTTGTTTTAATTTTCCTCCACCCTGTCAAACCCTCTCTGATTCATTTGAAGGTGAAGAACCTCAAGTGAGATTTATAGGCCACAATACAGGCAGCAAAGTCTACTCTAGTTAATATAATTCACTTTAAGAGATAAAAGCCTATTAGCACATGGAGAATGATAGACGTTTATAACGTTGGCAGCAGTCTGACCCCCAGCAGGTTTACGTGGCACAAGCAATGTCCAGCTAGATAGTCATCTCCTAGTCCCGGACTGGAATCAGCTCCTTGCCCTGACTGCAAAGACTGCATATTCCTTATCTCTGCTTATCTCACCACCAACATGCAATGCATTCAAGTTTTAATTGCTTTTCCCTCTCCATTAATTTTTCCAGGACTTCTAGGTGATCAGGACACAAAGCAAGTGGAGACAAATCTGCCTTAGTAGTGCACCTGATTCCAAGGCAGGCCTTACTTCCTCCTCATTTCTAGCCATGGCTTTTCTAATGCTGTCAGTCCCCTTCTCTGGGTATCCATGCCCCCTCTCCACCATCAGTCCCACATATAGCATACCATCTTCTTGGACAGAAAATACCTCTGCACCTTCATACTATGCCTCAGTCTCCTTAATCTTCCAGCTGAGAAAAATGTCACAGAGAAAAGTCAAGTCTGTCCTGTAAACCAAAGCATAATTTCAGAGGGGAGGAGCGCATGAAACCACACACAGCACTGACAGAGGGCCCAGCCTGAAAACCTCAGTGCCTCTCTCAAGACCTCTCATTTAGTCTGATCTTTCCCTTATGAGCACTGCTGGCAGTATTTCATGGATGTATCAGACCAGAACACTCCTCCTTCCCCAAAACACAGCCACTACTGCAACAAAGCCTGGCCTCTAACGGATCACAACAGTGCCATGCTTTATGTAAAGCAAAAAAGAGAACACACAGCCACACAAATTCTCCTAAGAGGAAGAAATTAGGGTCAGGCTACACATGCCTGACGCCTTCTGGCATAAAGCCTTGATTTCCGTAAGGAGCATTGCAAAACCATCCTTTTGCAAGGTGCTCACATCATTTAGCACGGAACCAGGGATACAGCTGAGGGTCGGTGGCAGAGGCACCACAAGGACCTACCCCTGATCCCATGACCCACATACCCTTTTGCCAAATTCAACCTCTGGCCCTGGCATGCTGAAAGAGCACAGCTGGTATCTCTGACAGCACCTAATCAGGATATACCCTGATTACCCGGCTGGGACAACCACCACCCCTCTGAGCACAGTATCTTCTTGTTATCTCACACCCACTGTAAAGTGCTGGCAGGAGAAATGCTGGATCAGGAGTGCTCAGCTGGAAGAAATTGGTTGGGATTTTAGCACCAGCACAGCCCCATGCGGATCTGAAGCATTCCTGCTTGGGGAGAGGAAAATGGACCCAGTAAGTGCAGTTCAGTGCCTTGCTCCCTGGGGAATAGCTTGGTCCAAACCTAGATGATATGTGCTGGAGCCAGGCAGTGGAGAGGCCTAGGGGACCCACAGCACACCTTTTGACAACTCAGACTTTCCTAGTACCTTCTGGCCTCTCATTCATAGGCCTGCAATGAGGTACCCTGGCCACGGATGTTACTTGCAGCGGCAACAACCAGGAGCTCCCACCTGATTAGGGTTAAGCTTCCAACCCTAATGCCAGCCCCATGTTCTGTACCACCGATGTTTTGTACCACCAGCATGTTGTTAGCCTTGGGAAGGCAGCAAAACCCACAGCCACTCCTCAGGAGCCTGCCCTGAGCAGGCAAACTCCCATTTCCCTGAGCTCAGCAGCCCTACCTGATAAAGGATGAGAAGGAGCCGCCCAGAGAAAAGGAGAAGAAAACACTTTCAGCACTGGCTCTCCTCCCATCAGACAGAGAGTACACAGCTGCACAAAGTCCCCAGGGTACAGGTCTGGGATGGCCCCATGGTCCCATGACATAGTCAAGCCAGTCAGCAACAGCTACAGGAAACAGCCCAAACTGTCCAACCCGCCAGGGTTCTGTGGGGCACAGGACCAATCCTTGAGTTCAGGGAGGAGATGCAGCCATCCAAACCTCCCACCCTGCTGCACCCAGAAGATAACCACTGGCACCAGAAGAGTTGAGGAGAGGAGGCACAACACTCTGTTGAAGCTCATGTCCCAGCCGTGCCAAGGTTTTACCAAGGCTCAGCTGTGGGAGCAGCTTCACCCCACTGCTGACCAGTTCCAGTGTCCCCAGTACCTGTTCACAAGCACGCTCCGTGCCTCAGTTCCTCCAGCTGTCAAAAGGATACCCCCCCCTCAAGGCCTGGCAAGAGCCAGCCTGGGCTATTTCACATTTTGTGGCTACTCCAACTGTGACCACTTGGTCTCTGCCGGGCAGGATAGGTGGGCAGCAGGCAGAAAGGATGCCCCTGCTTGCTCCCTTACTAACCTCTTCCACCTGGGTGGTCACAGAAAGCAGCCAGCTGAGCTAGCTTGGAGCCAAGGAGCACCTCTACCAGGTACCCAATGCTGTTTGAAACTCTCCAGCTTCTGCTAACGAAGCTGGACCCACTCCAAAGGGAGTCACTTTGTTCACTGTCTCCAAGCCGTCAGCACAGCCAGCATCTACTTGCATCCCTGCCTGCCTGCTTCTCTGCCTGCGGCTCTTGCAAGGCGACATTGCCATCTGCTGCCTGCTGCTCAGCAGGACATGCCAGCCTGCCTCTGCCACCCAGGCCTGGCCCTCCTCCATCTCCACTTGCAGGCGACTGTCCCTGCGGGGACCCTCCAGCACTGAGTGCCAGGGGTACTGGGGCAGCACCCATGCCACCATCCCCACAGAGAGCTGCCTTGCTCAGATGCCCCACTGGCACCAAATCCTGTGGGCAGCACAGAGCTCACAGCTCCAGCCCAGCAGCAAGGAGCGCAAGGCAGCTGCACTTCAGTATCTCCAGGTCTACCCTACTCAGGGGCTGTGTACGTGGCTGGTACACTGGTTTACAGCCAATGAACATGCAACTGCACAGCAGCACAGGGATGGCAGAGCAGTGTCCCAGACTAGAGCCACGTCCCTTACTGACAGCCAAGCTTTGCAAGTACCAGCCTCATCATTCAGCTGCTGTGTAGCAAGGTCCTGCCACAGAGTGCTGCCCTCAGCTCTACTGGTGACTCACCTGAGGAGCAGGAACACACACCTCCACCTCTTCTGTCTTGGGTTCTTCATCTGGAAACATGAAGATTTTTTTAATTCACAGCCACACCGAGACACATTTGCTTATTTTAAACTTTGAAGCACCTACACATTGTTTCTACAGCCTAAAGCAGAAGATGCCACCAAAGGGAGAAGAGTAGTAATTATCTGCACTTTAATCTTTAGAGAAGGAATTGGGCTTCCAGCTATACTTATTAAATGCTTTTAAATGATCTTTTCAAAGGGGCCATGCAGTTTATAATTGAAATTACCCACCTGAGGTTTGCCACAAGCAGGCCTGGGCTTATAGGTCACCAACACAGACTAGGGTTGATGGTTGCTGTGATCTTTGAGAGGGACAAGGTCACAGCAGATGGCACAGTAACACAGTGCTGGAGTCACTGCAGGCAAAAAACCAGGAGAAATGTGGATTCCCCTTCCCAGTTACTTACATGATGTTGGGGACTGTCCCCAAAGCCTGGCTGAAATTTAATAAGAGCATCACACCATGAGACCTCCGTAGGGGTCTAGATGACTTCTTACAGGAGCTTATAAACACAGCAGTGCTTCTGTAGGAAACAGCATACACCAGTTTCTTGCATTAACTGGTGGAGAATGTTCGGGGTGAACAGCTACCAGCATTGATGCAAGAGGGGGAAGGAGATCTGTGTAATTGATGTTGTAGGAGGTGGAAAGTGGTTGCATGTGAGGAGTCATTAATCTTTACTCCGAAAGCAGCAAGGGCTGAGGAGAGCTCAAGTGTGAACAGAGGAGATCCTTGTTATTGATTCCTCCTTTATATTTGAACAGCAGTTGGATCCACTAAGGTGTCACCTGCCAAAATACAGAGTGTGCCTGAGGACGAGCCAAGTCCAGCAGGTCCAGAAAGCTGATGTCTCTGCTTTGAAATTCATTGGCTGGATCTAAGACAATCAAGTGCTGAACAATACACTCAAAAAAGAAAAGTTATCCAAGATGTGGGACCCAGCTGCTGGACTGAGGGTTCTTGCTTTGTAGGCTGGCTGCCATGGCAGAAGTTGGAAACAAGAGAGAACCTTGGACAGAGCAGGCGTGTCAGTACTAAAATAGTCCTGAATTAAAAAGAAAATCTAATTTTAAAGCGTTCTCCATCTCCAGACAAGAGAAAATGCTTTCCTCCATGGGGATAAATATGTCTCTTATTATCAACAGTGAGCACAAATCTAACAAGTGCATCTGTCACCTCCACTTCAGGCTGCAGGGAGTTACCACAAGAGATCGTTAACATTCACGCTCCAGAATGCTGAGATTAACTGAGGTACCTGAGGTCACATTGCTGTTGGCTCCTAACGGGTGCAGAAATGCACAGCCAAAAGCAGCACAGGATCACCAACCTAACTGTGGCCTGGGTGACTTGAGGGAAGCTGGGAGCCAGTGTCCCTTACCCTATCCTGGACAGACCACCAGACACACACTGTCTGCTGGACAAGACACTTGACCACACACCATGCAGCTGTTTATGAGGGACAATGTGAATGAATTAAGTCAGGCTTGTCTGAGAGCAGAATCACTTTCCCCTCCTGTCAGGTATGGCACTGAGATTTGCTATGCTGTTGCTGCAGTATTATTTCCTGCAGTATTATTTCCTACGTTTTACACCCATGTGGCATCAGACACAGAGCCTGCTCAGTAGCTGCCCCCAGAACCCAATCTCCCCAGTTGCTGGCACCATTGCTTCTCTGTGGGCAGGCAACATGGTATTTATCCCTTAACCTAATGCTGGTAACCAAGGAAAATACTGGGTGGATCAGATCAGTCCAGGGACTGCAAGGATAAAGGGAGCTCTTCACAAAGAAAAATTAATTTAAAAAAATGCACTTACCTGCATGCTGTAGATTTTGTGTCATCTTTTTCTTCTTAAATCACCATTTTCTCACCCAGGTCATATCACTAAACTTTCTTAGTATATGGCATCTCATAAGGCTTTTTCTTGGCTGCGTCTTCAGCACAGAGCTCTGCTGCGGTGAAAAACCAGTCCAGAAGAACATGTTACTCACAGACCTGAGCAGGGACGACAGTTTGTATTTTTCCCTGACAACATTTATGCCCTAGTTCAAGAGTCTGAAGGGGAGGCTGATATTCATCAAAATTACCTTTTTCTTCTGCAGGATGTATTTTTCTTTCAGGCTGGCCACAGCAGCATGCCTGCCCTGGGCAGGGAAAGTGCTGTGCATGGGGAAGGCCACCCCCCTCTCCCCTCACTCCACCACAGCTGGAGGGAAACCAGCAATGCCAGAGTCACCATAGGACCATACCAGCCCAGCACTACTTTCAGCAACCTGGATTAGAGAGGGAGCTCCAGCCCTGGTCCCTGCTCTCTTTGTAGCTTTTGAATGAGCCCATTGATGATGCTCCTCTCACCATTATGAGCTGAACCTGCCTCCAACCTCTGCAGATCTCTTTCCATGACTTTCTCCTGCCCTGTGGTCTTTAAACCATCCCTCATTTGCATGCAGTGACAGCTTCCCTGCAAGTTCAAATCCTACCTCTGTTTCCCAACCCAAGCTAAACCTCTCTACTTCACAGAGATGCTGCCAAGACATGGCAAATGCTTTTTGCTGGTATGGTGTGGTTTGTTTCAGTGCAAAAAGAGGCTACATGGGAAGTACCATAGGAAAACAAACTGTTGGGAGGAGTATTTCAGACTACTGGGTGCAGGGATGCTAGCATATAGAGAATACTGTTTGGGAAGCCAGTTAATTTATATCACATCCCCACAATAAATAATAGTTTCAGCCCCTAGACAAGCAATGGTGCCCTGCTGGGGCAGCCTGCTTAGGGGTGCTCACATACACAATCACACAGCAGCAACCTCATGGCCCAGTTGGCTATGACTCCAGAAGGAAATGGGTTTCTATGTCTCTGGTTTCCTGTGGGCACCACAACATTAATTCCTTTGAGTTACTGGATCTAGAGCTGTCTCCAAGACACATGCTCTCATTTACTGCACACACGAAGTCCAAAAGATGAAAAACAGAGGAAATAAGCACCCGGGGAGCAGACAGTGGGATGGCGATGGCTTTGTCATGCATCCACCTTGCTAGTGGTACTGCGCCAGGAATTATTTTCAAGATGCTCCAAGTGCAGCCTAGGGGTAAGCACCCCTTCCCACATGCTCCCCCAGTTCCTGACAACAGGATCATATTCCCGTATTTGCACGTGCAAAGCCCTGATCAGCAGTACAAGTCTGAAGGCTGCTCTGTAGCATTTTTGTTGAAACATTGCCAGGACTTTGGGGGATTTAATTTCTGCTAATTCCAAATAAAACAACTGTAGGCAGAGAGTCCTCAGTGCTGAGACTGCCCACAAAGTGAGCAGCTCAAAACAAAGTGAAAGGTTTGATTTTGATGCCGGGGAGGACACAGAAATACTCAGTGTGAGGAAGTGAAAGCTAAGCAGTGTGTGTGAGACAGGCAATAAGAGAAAAGGGGAAGAAATATCCCTGTGGGAAGGCTCCCACACCAGAGACAGAAACACACAGTGGACTTGGAGGGAGGGAGAAACCACTTGCATAGTGGTCAAGAACAACTAGATCGTGAGAAATACATCTTGAAGAGGAAGAAAAACAGGGGTTAAGCACAGTGCACTGGGGACAAATTGAAGGTCACAGCATGAAGTCCTGGGAGGAGAAGCACCCAGTGAGCTCTACTGGTGCTCTCCCTGGCAGAAGTGGAAATAGTATCTAAAAGCCAGGAGCAGGCAAAACTCTCCAGGTGGGTGCACCAGGAGGCATAACTTGAGCAGGCAGGGCAGGCAGGTAGGGCAGCCTTGCTGCATTTCCTAGGCTGCTTTCTCAATGCAGGCATCAAGGCTGGGGCGAGGAGAGAGGCTGCACCTCCAGAAGCTCTCCAGCTGCTCCCACTGCACACTAAAGGGCAAGCCAGACACTGGTAGATTTGCATGGGATGCTCTCATCTCCTATGCAGGGTCCCTGTGGGCTGCTCCTGCTGGGCTGGCTGCCCCATCAAGGTAAGGCTCCGCCAGGTGGAGTTTGCGGGAGGCACGCAGGCTTGAGGGTGATGGGGAGCAATGTTGGTGGGGGGGGACCCAGAGAAGGAATAGGCAAGAGGCCACTGGTGACTGTCCCCTTCTGCAGTGAGACCTCCAGATGCCCCTGGCATCACCGTGCAGACTGAGGGTAGATGACTGTCTTTGGAAAGTGGCTTCGGGAAACAGGTTAACTCTTCTGACGTGTGCATGAGCAGCTTTCCTGCAGGTGCTCTCCTGCCTCTCCACAGCAGTGGAGTGAAGCAGGCTGGACAGGCCATACACCATTGCCCATAGCTTTCCTCCTGGGGAGCAAGGAAATAGATAAAAGCAGCACTGGCATTTCCCAATGCTCACAAGTGCTGTCTTCTGTCAGCAGCAGGCTTGCTCAGGCTCAGCCAGCTGGCTCCAAACTATTCAGCAGCCTCTGAACAAGGGTGTTGGGGGATGCTACTAAAGCTGCATCCAAAGGGGAATTCAGCATTCAAAGAGTGTTACACTGCACCTCCTGCCAGTGAGAGGAATGGGGCTTCTCCCTTTCTCTGCTGGGGTTTGCAACAGGCTTTGTCTTCCTGAGAAGTATGCCCTCATCCTCCCACCTCCCCAGCCTTGCAACAGCACGAGGAACATCTTGCTCTTCAGACACCTCATGCACTATTTGCTCCTTGGAACATTTTACACATGCCCGTGAGAGCAGGGCAGAGCTCTCTGACCTGCTTTGCAAGAGCACTGGAGGGCCTGAGCACTGCATGTCCCACAAACAGCAAACCCACGGGTTGCTGGCTGCCTCTGGCTCATTGTCAGGGTCTGATTCTAATTGTCTTTAAAAGTTCCACATGAAAAAGGGGAGTAGAAATGTGGTTGCACTGCTGCTTCCATGCCTGGGGGTAAGAAGGAGCTTGGCTTGCCCATATCCCTGCCAGCAGGACATCTGCTCTGATGAGCTAGTTGGGTGGGCTGCTGGACAGCTTCACCATCACAGCTCCAAACCATCACTCTCACCCTCTTGCTATTTTTATTTCTCTAGAAATTCTCTGTCCGTCCAGGTGACCTTTATTAAAACCACGTTTTTTAATACTGCGTGATTCTGCATTAATGTGGAGCTCTCTGCTGGGCCCTCCAGGAATGGAAGAAGCAGCTACTGCTCGCTTGGCATTGTAACATGTGAGCTCATTAGCTGTCAAGAGAAACAGTCACTGGATCTGAAACCTGGAAGAGCATCAAGGCCTCCGTAATTAATAATGTCTGAATTTTGTTTCCTGATGGTTCTCTATTTAGAAAAGCAGGAAAATAGGGTAAAAGTGCAGAATATAAAAATCCACGCTTTCAAATAAGCATTGTAGCCATGAGGAAAAAGGAAAAGGACATCAGATACAAGCATAAATCAATGTGACTAAAGACAAAATCAGCTACATTAAGAAACGGCTGCCTGGGTGCTTTCTCCTCCTCCTGCCTGTTGTTCCTTTCTGCTCCAAAATCCAGGTCCCCTACTGCAATGGTCCTGGGGATATAAGAGCCTTAGAGGTGTCCATTTCACCTTCCCCACTGTAAAGACCACGTATCTCCTGGCACGGCATGGAAGAACCCTGACTCATCCTAAGGACGAGCAGTTGAGGGAGAGCTGCACAGCCAGAGGAAAACCAGGTTGCAAGTTCCTCTGTACCCCAGGGAGCCTCCAACAGAGTTTGCAGAGAAAGAGGAGGTGGTCAGCAAAATGCAGGCTGATCAAGCACAAGGGAAAGAGGGCGAGCTCAGTCACTCATGCATTATTTATTTCTGATCCCTCTCCCTCCAGGAAAAGAAGATCCCAGCTTGGCCAGCATGGTATCTATCCCCCTGGCAAGGCTGAGCACCCTGCCCTGCCTGTGCAAAGGTGCCACATATATTTTACGGGGTGGTGAAAACCCATCACCCTTACCGGTTAAGCAGATACACACAGAGTTTAAATTCCCTATGGAAATGGGCAAGGAAAACCAAACTGAAGCCTGAACCCACCTTTTCTGTCAATGAGATGAACACTGCAGAACACAACCCTTTCACACAGAGTATGCTGGATAGGGTAATTACAGCCAAAATATTTGGACCCCTTGCTCTCCTCTTGGGAGAGCCCCTTCCTGAAGCACTGAGTGTTTCTACAGCAATAAGCTGCTTTCTGAGACCAAGAACAGGGACTAGACAGTTGGTAAAAATGGTTTCTCTCAGGTACCTGATAGCTGAGGCAATTAAAAGAAAATTAAACTGACATTTCTAACTTGCAGTGTAAGAGATGTGCAGTGGTGAAATAATTAAAAGTTACTGCTGGGAACATACTGTTTTCACCCATCTGTTGCAAAGAACAAAAGGGTAAGATGTATTTTTGGCCTTTTTTTTTTTTGTTTTCTTTCTTCTTTCTTCCTTGATAATTGCTACTATTGCTGCATCCCCAAATGCTAGAAGTGAACGGTTTACCAAATGTTAGCAGACATATTTGTGATTGGTACATGGTCCAGCCTCACTTGGTGATGAACAACATTTTACCAGCCAGATCCTCCTGCTCAAATTATTCACATGAAGGGCTCAAGTCTTCATTTTTTGGTCTATAGCACTTGCCTGAAGGATCTTTCCATCAGCTGCCTGGGGCAGCTCCATGATGAAGATGTACTCCCATCCCTTGCTGTCTCTTACTGTCCAGCATCATTTGCTTCCCCATCCAATACACTGATGTACCAACTGTATCTCAGGCTCTCATACAGGGGGAATTCTCTGGATGGGAAGACCCACCTTGCATCATCCTCATGCAGATAGGATCACACTGCCAGTTCCTCCCAAGAGCTGAGCTGGCCACCCGTGCAAAGGGACTTCCCAGCTGTTTTTCACAACTCCATGAAACACAGTGGTCAGGAAGGAAGATTCACCCCCTATCTGAGTGTCCTGTAAGACCTGAAAGACAAGGAATGGCCAGGGGACACAGCAGATACGCTTTGCCAACCTC